TGTGCTGGAATACAGTAATGGTTGCTGTTTGGTGGTGCAAGCAGGCTTTAAAATGGAATTTAGACTCAAGTCTTCCCCCCATTTCTGCTCTCTTTTTGTGATGAGGAGTTCTGTGCTGGAATAATGGTTGCTGATTGTTGGTGCAAGCAGGCTTTAAAATGGAGTTTAGACTCAAGTCTCTACCCCCCACCCATCTTGTTTAGACTCCACAGTTTGTGTTTTTTCTTAAAATCAGAAAATATCCTGTGAGGGGCTGTGCTGGCTATTGATGCAGGCAGACTGTAGAATGCAGCTTAGACTTTTTGTGATGAGGAGTTCTGTGATGGAATAATGCTTGCTGGATTCTGTGGCTTTGTTAAAGGTGTTCTGTTTAAAAGGTGTTCAGCCTTTTTTTTAACCTAAAAGGTGCTTGGTTTTCTTTAAAAGGTGCTTGTTTTTAAAGGTATTCTGTTTAGAAGGTGTTCCCTCCCCCCTCCCTCCTTTTCTGCCCTTTTTTTGACCTAAGTTCATCTTAGGTAAAAAAATAACATACAAACAAAAAACAGCAGGTATGGATTAAATGGTTTTCAATGCATTCTTATGGAAAAGTTTGCCCCGACTTACAAACTTTTCGACGTATGAACCCCATTCCAATACGGATTAAGTTTGTAAGTCAAGGTACCACTGTATTGAATGAAAGCAGAAGAAATAAGTACTAAACTCAGTTGTATTAAATATGTCTTTGTATACATATCAAAAAAAAGGGGAACAAGTACCTTTCTGCTCCCTATTCATGTTGAAGCCATTTTGGTAAAACTATCTGGATGATGTTAGGCATTACTTGAAAACACTGAAAATTAGATGTAAAAGTAACTTGCATCATTTCACATCATTTGAATGACATCATAAAGAAGATGAATGAGTTAGGTCTAGAAAGTATATACCTTCTAAAATGAGAAATGAAAATTAAAAATGACTAAAACATGGAGGAAGGATGCAACAGTCATGCCCTTCTTTGGCAGATTTGGAGATAAAAACAAAAGGCTGCAGAATATATATGACTACACTTGGTATATGGCTGAATTATGAATTTATTCTGATCCATAAGTGAAAAATCACTGGTTTAAAGAAATTTCATATGAAAGTATAACAATAATATTCTACCCCTGTCCTAAATTTAAATAGTGACATAAAAACTGATTTACAAGAGATCTTGGTAAGATTTGCATTTCTTAAAATCTGTTGGCATATGAACTGGAATATATTCCCTTCAGAACTCCAAGCACATTCTTCCCAGACATTATTGTTTGCTGGCACATTTTTTTGCTGAGACCTAGTCTATTGGTCTATCATATGTAGTCCGGAGGGAAGCTGTTGTGTTTTTAGGATGAAGTGGATAGCTGCCAGTGTTGCAGGTGATTTAAAAAAACCATCTTGGCCTGACTAGAAAAACAAAGGAGAAAAAAGATTTAAGATCTCATTGGGAAAACTCACACTAATTCTTCCTGGGGATCAGGTCAAGCTATAACCTCTGAGATGCCAGAGAAGAACAAACCATATAAGGGAAGACATTGAATGCTTAATGCTCTGCCTAATCAAAACTATACATGGAGATCCTTTTATAGACCTTGAACAATCCACACTACTTACATTTTAAATATAGCTATCTTAAAATGTTTCTGTAATAAACATTATATCATTAAGCACACATTTGTGTTACCACATAGTACACATTGTATACAAATATGCTTCTGTTGTATGCTTCTTCCTTTTAAAAAAATCTATTGGTGTAATAAATTTTATTTGTTTATAGCCACACAAACCACCATTAAGTAGCTGAACTAGAAGGAATCTGAACTAGGTGTGTTTAAATACACTCTGGATCTCAAGTTTGTCAGCTTCTAAATATTTTTACAACATACAGTAGATCTCTATTCTACCAGTAAGAAAATCTAAAATCTATGACCTGTCCGTCTTGGGGGTCCCTGCACAGCATAGCCCATAGCTTCTCTGAGTTACTCAAGCTCGTTCGCCACAACAAGGCAGCAATCCATGAAAGGGATTAACTGCATGAAACTCCTTGGGGGGCAATTTGTGGGTGAATAACTCGGAGTTTTGATATCCAATCTGCACCAAAGTTGGCAGGCGTGTTGGGGAAAGGCATAAGAAGCTCTGTTGTGATTCTGGGTTCTCTAAGTACCTGGGGGGAGCTTTCCTGGGGGGTCCTCTTTGTGACTATATAACTCGATGGTCCGTGATCCAATGTTCACCAATCTTTCAGTAGTTGTAGAAAAGTGTCTCAGGAAGCTTCCCTGCATATTTGATGTCTCTAGGTTGTTGGAGACCAGTGTTACTGTCGTTTAAAGTGCAGACGAATTGACGGATCGATCTGTTGATTCGTCGAACAGTATTCGTATTCATTGATTAGTTAAGCTTGACGAATAATGGATCAAAACGAATTGCCTTTTTAAAATTTGTCCCCATCTCTAGTCGTAACTCAAACTGGTTGTAACTCTACCATTTCCCATAGGAATACATTGAATTGTGATTAATCCGTCCTGGCTGACCCCCCCCCCGCTAAAAAACATACTGCAAGACCAATCAAAGACTTGATTTATGCCAATTTATCTGCAGCCCCATTATCTCCAGATTCTTTTAAATAGTTTTACCCTATCAGTGACGTTTAATAGGTTTTCTATTCTTAATAAAGTATCATTAGCAAATAAACTAATTTTACCTCTATCTTTAGTATCAGTGTCACAAATTAATTCATCTTCTCTAATAACATTTCCTAGCAATTTTATAACTAAATCAAACAATACTGGGGAAAGGGGACATCCTTGTCTAGTATCATGGCCTGGAGATACCTGTTCGATTGTTCCATCATCTACTGTTACTGCTGCAGTGTTCTCTGAATATAGCTGGTCTAGCATACCTTTAAATTGTTCCTAAAAACTAATATTTTTATTAGCATTTTTAATGTTGGCCATTCCACACAATCAAATGTATCAAATATGTCCAGTGAAATTATTCCCACCTTCATCTTTTGTTTCCTTATTACATTTATTATATTTAATGGTCTTCTAGTCAGATTTGCTGTTTGCCTTCCTATGAGGTGGTTAAAAATATAGTGGTGCCTCGCTTAGTGATTGCTTCGTTTAACGAAGAATTCACTTAACGATGTATTTCTTGGAGGAATTTTCCTCATCGTTTAACGATGTTCTCTATGGGGGATTTTCACTTAACGATGTATTTCTTGGAGGAATTTTCCTCATCGTTTAACGATGTTCTCTATGGGGGATTTTCACTTAACGATGTATTTCTTGGAGGAATTTTCCTCATCGTTTAACGATGTTCTCTATGGTCGTTAATTTTTGGTGATTTTTTGTTTTTCCCCTTTAAATGCATTGAACAGACAGTTCAATGGATTTAAAGGGGGAAAACAAAAAATCACCAAAAATTAACGAAGACTCAGAACAAAGCCAAAATATGTTTTCACATGTTTCACAAGGTGCACTACCGAATCTAAGCATTTAAAACAGGTTTCAAACATTTTAAGACACTTAAAAATGAGCGAAAACGGAGATCGGAAAGCCATTCAAAAGCATTGCAGCCGCCTGCAATGCTTTTGAATGGCTTTCCGTTGGGGGAAACATTGTTTCACTTAGCGATGTTTCCTATGGCGATTTTCGCTTAAGGACGGTAATCCGTTCCCATTGGAACGGATTAACCGGTTTTCAATGCATTCCTATGGGAAATGGTGTTTCGCTTAACTATGTTTTCCCATAGCGATGGGTTTTTTGGAACCAATTAACATCGTTAAGCGAGGCACCACTGCAAATGATTTTTAAGAATCAGATTGATTTAAATTGCTTAAATTGCCGCCCATGCACGCACAGACACATGCACGCAGACATATGCATACCTACACGCATGCACACACGCATGCCCCCTGTACTCACACTAAACCATTCCATGGTGTCAAAAAGGTTGGGGACCAGTGACATATAGAACCCTGGCTGCAACCTCTCAGTCATTAATTTTCCAGACTTCCATCATTTCTTTTCCTATTTTATGTATTACCGTATATTCTTTTACTGAAAAATATTAGTATTAATTTCCCATCTTTTTGCTTTATAATCACATTTAATTTTAATGTCCATAGACAATAATATGTGATCAGTTACTTTTTTAATACCAACATCCATGTTAGTCACACTCAAAATCAAGTTTTTAGACACAAATATATAATCTATCCTAGAGTAACTTTTATAAAATAGGGAATAAAAAGGAAATTTCTTTTCATCTCCCTTCATCACTCTCCAAACATCTATCAGATTGATTCTCTTTCTCATTCTGTTTAAAACCATAACATTTTTATTGTTCACAGCTTTTGTAGAATTTGAATTATCTTCCTCTTTATCCATATTAAAATCCCCTACCATTATTACCAACCCCTTCCTTATTTCCTCCAATTCTTTAAATATCTCCTTTAAAAAAGATTGATTTACATTACGAAAGTAAATATGAATTAAAATATGTTCTTCTCTCATTACTCCTTGCAATATTTCATATCTACCTTTACAATCTTTTTTCATTTTATTCACTTTAAAATCACTTTTCTTAGAAATGATGGTTGCAGCCCCTCTTAACCTTGAATTTTCATAAGCTTTTTCGTAAATACCAAATCAATTCAATTTAAGTTAATCTACACCTTATTTTGTTTGAGGAGTCTCTCTTAAAAATATATCCATCTTATCCTTATTTAACAGTGTCTCTACTCTTCTTTATAACACTCCCCAAGCCTTTACATTTGCAGTTGATATTCTTAGTTTTATATTTATCTACCATCAATTCTTCCTTTTAGTCTTATAATCCCCACTCATAACAAAATCGAAACAACACTCCATCCATAAACAAGCTAACCAAGCTCACCTCTAGCCCAAAATGTATTTATTTATATATTTATAGTTCTGAGATACTTCTGCCATTATCATTTTTATTTTTCCCTTTATTGTCAGATAATGCTTATGATCCAGATGTAAATGCAAAACAGATGTGGATTGACAAAACTATTATTAATGAGAATATCTGCTTAACATTCATGGACAATGGAAATGGCATGAATGCAGACAAGTTGCATAAGATGCTGAGGTGGGTATGATTTTAATAGTATCCGCCACCTTTATTTGTGATTATACGTTCATTAAAATGTGGGTATGTTTTAGGAAACTAGAATTCTGAGCAGTCATGTTGGCTGTGCTTCAGTTTAGGTAAGGCAAATCATTCATAGTGCATATGGGTAAGTTTCTATACTAAAGACTAGAAAGAAAGGCAAGAGCAATGAATTACATCACCTTTTTCTTGTACAGTGGTGCCCGCATGACGACGATAATCCGTCCCATTGAAATTGCTGTTTAGCGATATCGTCTTGCAAAAACTGTTTTCCCCATTGAAATGCATTGAAACCCGTTTAATCTGTTCCAATGGGGAAAAATTGTCATTTTGTGAAGATCACCCATAGGGCAGCCATTTTGCGAAGCACCAACAGCTGTTAAAATGGCCGTCCTGCGAAGCATTGGTCCCGAAAACATAGGGAAGCCAATTTGCGAAACCTCCGATCAGCTGTAAAAATTGTCGCCTTGCGAAAAACCGGTCCGCAAAGCACGGACCAAATCATCGTCCGGTGAAAATCGCCCATTGGAATGATTGTTTTGCGAATTGCTATAGCGATTGCAAAACCTCATCATCATGCGGATTTGTCATTTTGCAAGGTCGTCTAGCGAGGTACCACTGTACAGCCCAAATGAAGTAACTTGGATTCAGAGAACTGCTTGTGCAGAAAGAAGTGTCTTTGATTTGCATGAATGGGACAATTGCTAACTTTATTCCTCATGCCACGTTGAAGGCTGTTTAGAGGGCCCAAGATCCTCAACTGGTTGGGTGAGGAGCACAAAGGGCTGTGATAGGAAGGTGCCATGCAGCATTATTGCATGGTGAGCGTTATTGTCAGTAGTTCTTTGGATCAAAGCAAACAGTATCGCTTTGTACTGGACTGATTTCAGCCACTGCTTTCTCATGTGCAAATTCTGATACGTAAATATGTTCCCCCCCCCATAGTTAATTTAATAGAAAATGAGGCCTGTGTTCAGAAGAAAATTGTAGTGGAAGCATCCTATGAGTGGCATCTGTGCACTTCAAGTCCCGGGTGTGGTTCACACTGAATATTCAGTTTGCCCAAAGGTGAGGGGACCACAGAGAGCCCACATTTGCTGCTTTCTACTGCTGGGTTTTGAATCTGCACTCTAAAACTTGTGGGAACCGAAATGTGTTTAAAATGCAGCTTTAAGTGTTTGTAATGGTGGGTTGTAATATTTTTATTTGTTTAATTGTTTTGTTAAAAAAATTGTATCTTTCAAAGTTTTTAATTGTGACTGTTATGTTCTTTTAACTGTGAGCGGCTCTGAGTCCCCTGTGGGGAAATAGAGGCGGCATAGGGAGTTTGTCTGCAACACATGTAAACTTTATTAGACAATAACATATACTTGGGACTTTTACTTGAATCAAAAGTCATGGCTGGGCCACTTATACCATGTTTATTTGCAACTTTTACCTGGCAGTAGGCAAGACTGTTTATGCTCATGGAAGCACAATGAAACAGTCAAGGAACCTGGTTTTAAAGGGGAAATTCCCAGACTCAACTAATAGAGGGAACAAGTGCTTTGATTTTAAAAATAAAAACGTTTTTCCTCTTGTTGGTGAGGGCCTAAGGGAGCACCAGGGATAAGGGCCCTCCAAAAAACTGGCCAGAGGAACCACATGCCAAAAGATTAGTCAGAAAGGTGTTCCTCCTTTGTGGCCTCTGAATACACACTAATGGGTTAGTCTGCGCCTCAGCAGAGCAGCTGGGAAGCTTCTGTAGCTTTAAGCACTATGTGCCGAGGGACCTCCCACCTAGGTTACATCACCACCCCGGCACTGAGTGTGTCAGTTCCGTTTCCTGCTGCCACTGTAAGCAGCACAGTCGGAGCCGCTTAGTTTTTAAAAAACTTACCTTATCCTGGACCTCCCAAAGTGTTTGACTTCAGACCGGACTTCGTTATTCTGTGGGGTTGTGAGTTGGACTGTTTGCTTTCAGGTGTGTAAGGCCTCTGAGGTGACGTTTAAGCGCTGCACAGCCTGCTACGCCAAGGTCCCGATTAAAGATGGCCATTCCAAGTACCTCTTTGGTTTGGGGGAAGGGCACCAGCCGGCCTCTTGCATTCATTGCAAGGCCTTTACAAAGCCCCCTTAAAATGCAGGCAGGATAGGCTTACTGCCTTCCTCTGGTCCAAGTCTCTTGACCCGCCTGCCATGGACCCCGCGAGAGCGCCGCCAGCTGAGGCGTCTGCGGGGCGCTTTCCCCCACAACCGCGACAAACGGGAACAGCTTCTTTGGGCTCAAAGTCAATGGCTTCTGCTATGGCATCAAAGCCTCCTTCGAGCCCAGGACGTACGAAGAAGAAGAAAAGGACTGCACCGCCGGTGGCTTCTTCTCGCCCCGTGGCTGCTGTACCGGCAGTCGAGCTCACAGAGTTACAGGATGAGCTCATCCCACCTTTGAGCACGTTGCCTCTGGCTTCTCCGGTGAGGAGCCATCGAGCTGCATCGTCACATGGCTCCCCTCGGACTCGATCAGTAATTCCTCTTCCTCCTTCTCCTGAGCCTGTGGCCCCACCTCCGAAAAAGAAAAAGGCATGTTGAGCCCGAAGCAGCTCCGCCTCAACCGGTCGCCCCGCAGCATTTGCTGAGCTCGACATCTTTTGGGCTCGAAGGGTCGGGTTTTTCCCCATTTGACCTAGCTGCCTTTTTCTCCTTTCAGCAGTAGCAAGCCTTTTGTAGGCAATTCCAGCAGTTCTCCCCTTACTTGGGAGACTGCTTCCGGAGACCGGCAGTTCCTCCTTCCTGGCCCTTATCACCACAGCACCACCAAGCTCAGCCTCTCAAGGGTCCTGCTTTGGATTTCTCGCAGGCTTCCAGGCGCTGCTCTGAGGGTGCTGTGAGGGCTTTGTCATTGAGCCCGTCGCCTCGAGCTGTGGGGGGGGGGAGGAAGTTCTACAGGACCTTCTTGGGCTGGAGTCAGATTTGGATCTGCCTCCTGATGACTCCCCTGGACATTTTCTAGTCCATAGCCTTGAGCTGGAGTCAGACTCGGACTCAGGAGATGTGAACCATAGAGATGCTGCTCCACTTGATACTCCCACTGGAGGCTCCACCACGGTAGGAAGTCACCCTCCGTCTCCCTCTTACACACAACTGATCAAGAGCATTGCAGATGTCCTTGACCTAGCGGTAGTACAGCCCCCACTGCCTCAACCCAACAAGATGTTTGAGGATATGACAAAGGACCATCTGGTGCCTATTAAGCTGGCCTTCATACCCTTGCTTCTCAGCTTGGCTAAAGAGTCATGAAATAAGCCTTCGTCTTCCCAACAGGTGCCACAACGAGTTGAGAATCTGTACAAGGTTCATGGGACTGAGACGGACTTTCTTGTGAAGCATCCCCTACCCAATTCTTTGGTGGTAGATGCTTCGCAGCCCGGTACACATGCAAAGTCGACTTTGGCCCCAGCTGACAAGGAGGGGAAGAAATTGGACTCTCTAGGCCAGAAGCAATACTCCTTTGCCACCTTCACCTTGAGAGTCACCATTTATTTGGCCACGATGGGGGCTTATCACCGGCACCTCTGGAACACGGTCCTGCCGGCCCTTAATGCTGCGCCTGAAGACCTGACACCTACTGCCCTTGCCCATCACCAGGAGGCGATGGCTCTTGCTTGCCAGGAGAGGGTGGCCACCAGGCACATTGCTGACATTTCTGTAAAACAGCTGACCACCGCTGTTGCCCTCCGGAGGCATGCCTGGCTTCATTTTGCCACCCCCACAGATGATGTCAAGTCCAAGATTGAGGACCTCCCCTTTGATGGGTAGGGGCTCTTCGATCTGAAGACGGATGAGATCCTAGAGAGCCTCATTAAGCATAGGAAGATGGCCAAGTCCATCTCGGCACCGTCTACATCTCGCAGCTCTTGGCGTAGGTCTTATCCATCCAGGCCTTATTATGACAGACCTAGATATCAGCAGGGGTCTTTCAGAGGTCAGTCCCAACAACAATCTGGCCAACCGAGACAGCGCCAGCAGTCCTGTCACCAGGATCAGAAGTTGGAGCAGCAGGTTTAGTCAGCTGTGGCTACCAGCTCCATTGATCTACACTGTGTTAGACTAGCACAATTTTTTGATGCCTGGAGGGCTATCACCTCCGACTCTTGGGTTCTCAACATCATTGCCACTGGTTATGCAATTGAGTTTAACTCCACGCCTTGCACAGGTTTTGTCAGAAATACAGACACTTCACCTGTCCTCCGAGAGGAGGTGGAGAAGCTGCTTTCTAAGGATGCCATCGTGTTAGTAGAGGATCCTGACATCCCGAGCAGTTTTTTCTCACACTATTTTATTATTCCTAAAAAGGATGGTGGCCTTCGCCCTACCCTGGACCTCAGACCCTGCATTACGCCTCGCCGTTTTCGCATGGTCTCCCTGGATGGTACAATCCAGATGCTCAGGCAAGGGGGACTTGTTCATGCTCATTGACCTCAAGGACGCTGATTTCCATATTAGTATTCGTCCTGAGTATCGCCGGTTCCTCCAGTTCTCCTTAGAGGGTGTAATCTATGAGTTCAAGGCTCTCCCATTTGGGTTATCCACTTCGCCAAGGGTGTTTACAAAGTGTCTGGCACCAGTGGCTGCTTATCTATGCTTACAGGGCATCACAGTCTTCCCCTACCTTGATGATTGGTTGCAGGTAGCGTCGTCTCCTGAAGTACTGTCACAACATGTAGTCCTTACACTGTCTCTTCTCTCTGACCTTGGCTTACAGGTCAACCAAGAAAAGTCCACTTTTTTTTAATAAACATTTTATTGGTTTTTCAATCTATCTACATTGCTTTGTGCTTGTCCAACATTGTGTTACATGTTTTGCTTACAATTATTTGTTTTTTACATCTCAGTGTCTTCCCGGTTATCCCCCCCAAATTCCAAACATCTTTCAAACATTCAAACCATTCATATACAAATTTTAGTATATAATATGACTACTATCATAATATTACTCTCATATTATATACAATTCTCAAGGTCTTCTAATAACATTCTTATTGAAAGTGGTTCCAGATCCATGACCCAGCTTTATATCTAGTTTAGTTTACCTAAAATAAAAAACCACCATATTACATCTTTACCCTGATTAGGGCTCCCTTATTTCAATTTAATTCTCCTTTTTAATATACAGAATATACC